TATGTTACTATGTGCTGGGACATATGTATGTGTCTTTTTCTTAATACAATCTAGAGTCTTAGTCCTAGTCTTAATACAATCTAGAACCTCATTTTTTTAAACTGAGAAATAATTTTATTTGGCACCCTACAAGGAATTCCTAAATTCCTATGTATATAATCCTAACACCTTGCCACACAGTAGGAGTTCAACAGCAGTCACGTGTTCCATCTCAGCCAGCAGGAAGACTATACAGGTCTCATTATTATTTTTCAAAATTTCTCTAAAAATGGAGATTTTGAGACTTTCCACTGGAAGGAAATTCTACTGCTGCCTAATGGATGTGATGATACAGAATTTTGTCCTGTGCAATGTGAAAAAGTTCAGCAAGCAGAAGAAACAGCTATTCTATGCTCTGTGAATCAGAGTTTCTTTTCTCTTGGTTCACATATTTGGAGAGATTCGGGCTTCCTCTGCATGAGGACATCTATTTATTCTAGTTACCTTGGTGCATGGAAATAAAAATTAGAGGGGGTAGGAAGAAATGAGTTTTAACATTAACTGGGTCTTGTCATGAGATTGACCCATTCCTGAATTACTTTCGCCCAGAAGATTCTGTCCTTTTGTTCCTATAGTTGTCATCCTCAATCCTTGATAATTTGCCTAGACTTTGTACTTTACCCAGGCATTTGAGACATAGAAATCCTGTGGCCTCTTATTCTGTGCAAGACAAGCAACTGGCTGTACTCTCTGAACCTGCAGTGAGGTTTGAGAGTGTGGGCAGGCTTAGAATAAGGACAGTCCATAGACTCTTTCTGTTTTTACTGCAGGTATTGATACACCTGTGGAAAATGACAAAATTCCTTAATTCTGCGTAACTGTATATTTCACTTTCAACTTTTTAATAGTTTCATTTACTCTTTTGTAAGACTGGACAAGGTATTTTAGAACTTCTGAACCAACAGGAACTTTCAGGTGTTTTGAGTTGTTTTTAGGTTAGCATATTTAAACCAAAGAAAAGGTTAGAGTTAAGGCTTTCTCTAAATGAAGTTTTAAAATTTCACACTGAGAATCTTCTAGTTCAACTTAGTGCAGGTAGAAGGACACAAAAGACATAGATTTCCCCAGAGTCACGTATGGAAAAATTAGTTAAAAAGACACATGCAGAACAAACATTTTTTTTAAAAAAAGCATTTCACTAGTGATGCACTACAATTTTCCATTTCATTTAAATGAGAGTTGAGAATAAATAATTTCAAAATTTTGAAACCTATGACTTCACTTAATATAAAAGATAATGAAGGCCCAAGCAACATAGCACGGTAAACCATACTTTGTTGGAACTTCTCTGTCCAAACACATATTAATGATAGACAAAATATGAAAATTTAAGAAAAGACACATAATGCTGAATAGTAAAATAAAAACACGTAAAGTAGAAATTGAAAGAACTATTAAGCACTTAAAACTCTGAACCTACAAGCTTACTGTGCTCCAAGTTAAGTGCCAAGTACAGGTGAGCAGAATGCAATATTCTGCATCGTAAATAAGGCTACTTAAAGCCTGGGCTTTCTAGAGTGTGAAATTGGACTGAGAATTTGTCAAACAGTGCCTGAGGGCTAAAGCTTTTGGCAAGCTGCAAGCTGCTAGTGAAAAGATAGTCTTGCATAGGGAAGTGGTCAGAGTTGCCTAGCAGGGCACTGACTGGTTCAACATTAGCCCCAGTATTGTCAAGAGACAGCATCTCCCAAAGGCCATTGAAACAAGCGTTGCTGCAAGGGATGCTGCTCTCGTCTCTTTGCTCTCACTTCAACACACCTGCTCGGTTTGGCTTAGAAAGCTGCATTTCTTCCTATGGCCATGGAAGCCCACTGTACTCACTAGTCAGACATGCTAAAAATGAGTGAGAAGTGGGAGAGGCATCAGACTGACACAAGGAACAGGGAGCGTAAATATTCCCCTGATCTTCAGTTAGGAGATTCTGCAATCTCTGTTCTACAGAGGATTCTAGAGATTTGCTGGCAGACTGACTTCTAACTTCACAACGACTGCTTTCCTTTTCTGTCTTCTCATTCAACAGAATAGGAAAATACAGGGCCAACTAATCCTTGGACAGAAGACTAACATCTAGAATAAACAAAGAAATAAGAGTCCTTTCCAAATAAGAGACCCCATCAAAAAATGGGCCGCTGAAATGAATAGACCCTTCTCAGGAGAAGTACCAATGGCCAACAAATACATGAAAAATTATTCCAGACAATGCATATTAAAATAACACTACACTCAATAAATCAAAGATTAACAAATGCTCAGGAGGCAGCAAGAAAAGGAACATTTTAATACTGTTGGTGAGGATGTAAAGTAGTCTACCTACTATGGACATATATATGGAAAATTCTCAAAAATTGAAAATAAGAAATTTCATTCAAACCGGCTATTTCCTTTCCAGGTATCTTCCCCAGAGTTAGTCATTATCTATGATAAGTGCATTTGCATGTTTATAGCAGCAGAATTCAAAATAGCTTAATATTGGATGCAGCCTACATGTCTATCAATAGATGAATAGATAAAGAAAATATGATCTTTGTACACAATGGAGTACTGCTTTCTCATAAAGAAGGATAAAATTCGAGTTATTTACAGGAAAATGGAGGTTGTATGAGACTGTAATGTTAAGTAAAATAAGTCAGACACACAAACCTATATATTTCTTGATTTCTCTTGTAGAAGAAACTCAAACATAAATAATGAGTAAAATAAAAGATGGATAAAGGGAATCAGGGAGATAGATCTTTTGCAAATGGGAATGGGTCTTAGAGAAGGAAGCAAAGGGGGAAAGAGGGGGGAAAATAAAAAGAATTAAGATGTGTTTCATACATAGACTAACTCCCTGTGATGAATATAATCACTATGTACTGCAAACATGTATTAATAACAAAATTTAAAAATAAAATTTTGGGAGTAGGATTTTTAAACTTCAAATTCAAATGTGAGTAAATCCTACCCAAAAAATATTTTTAGCTGCTAAATCTAGATTTGACTCCAGAACTGCTACTTCCACAGACATTATTCACCTTTTACCCTATGAAAATAAATATTCTGAGAATTATCTTAAAGTATTACTGTTAAAATTCTGTTAAGAAAATGTTTATAACAGATGGTTTTTTCATTTTTAATATATTTTATTATGTGTACATTTAGAATGACACACTAAGAACTAAAACATAATTTTGAAGCTTTTCTTCCTGATATTTCTATCTAATATCATTAATGTTCTATATCTACCCTATCACACATGAAGTCTTCCATGTGGAAATGCATCATCCTCATGGTTACCTTCTCTTTCCTGAGAAACTACACCAGCACCCATGATCAAGGAAGAAGAAGTTTAGTTGGATCATAGTTCAGTCTAGAGTCGGCTGGCTCCAAGGCAGGATAGCACGGCACAGTTCCCTGGCAGAGGAAAGTTGCTCATGGCATGGGGCCAGGGAAGCAGAAAGCATGAAGATAGGGCCCTGGAAGGAATATAAACCTTTCCAGGCCATCCCCACAGTGTCCCACTTCTATCCAGATCCCATCTCCTAACAGCAAGTCAGCTAGGAACTCCATAATCTAATAAAGTTCCGTGAGTGTACCAGGCTTTGGGGAACGTCTAGATATAAACTGTAACAATCATGATAATTGATTTATTACAAATCATAAAATTAGTATAATAAAATCAATTAAAGTAATTCACTGCATAAAGATTAAAAGGAAAGACAATTTCCAGTTATAGCATCCTAAGCATGTGTAAAAGTTATTTTTAAAATTTAGTAGATTATTGCTTTCACTGTTAAAGGATTTCTTTTAATATTTGAAATAATAGACAAATACAAGATATCTCCTTGCCTGTTCAGTGTAATTCTTGGATTCTTAACCAATTTGAAAATAAAGAAAAATATATGAAAGATAAAAGTATTCAAAAGGAATAAAACTGACATTCTCTATAGATAATATAATTACTAACATAGACATCACAAAGAAACCCACATATGATTTTGAGAATTAAAAAGCATACAGAGTAAATTTTATAGATAACCAGTTAATTTTAATACTGCATGCAAATTGAAAATAGCTAAAAAGGAAATTCATAAAATAAAAATTATCTATAATAGCATAAAATGAAATTCTTAATAATACCTCAAAGTATGTGCACAAGCCATCTATGGAAAAATCATAAATTTTATTGAAAGGAACTTTAAAAGTATAGATAGATACCTTGTTTTGAGATGACAACACAGTATTGGGAAGATGTCAATTATTTACAAACTGATCCATAGTTTCAGTTTAATTCCAATGAAAATGCCAATAGGAAGTTTGTATGTGGGGAGGTTTTGAGTGTTTGTAAGTATGTAGGTGTGAGTGTGTGTGTGTGTGTGTGTGTACAAAAAGAGGGAGACAGAAACAGAGTTAAAATAATCAGAGAAGACACGCAAATTCTTGAAACAGAACTAAAATTTGTGAGGAAACATAAATGGACAAAAATACCACCTTACTCAGAAAGAACAAGAATGATAGAGGAATCCTGTCTTAGTGGATATCTAACCTAGAGGAATACTATAGGGTTTAAGACAATGAGATTCTTTTTCAGAGATATACCAAGGAAACAAAATAGAAAAATCAGGAAATAAGATGGAGATGTAAACATTTGCAGAATTGGTGTCCTAGACGTGGAAGATTATGGACCTTTCAGTAAATGGTATAGGTATTATTGGTTAATCACAGAGAAAAATGAAATTTGATGCTCATATAAACCCTGAAACTAAAGGATCAAATACAGGGAGATTGTATGTGAGGAGGAGCAAAGCTCTGAGGAACTGAGAGAGTAATAGAAAAAATATATAATTCTTTCATCAGGGTATGGAAATATATTTTAAACAAAATGCAAAAAAATGCTAAATCAAAGGAAAAACTATATTTTCAACAATATGAAGATTGAGAATTTCTAGGTTATCAGATGCTATCTGAGTATATTTTACACTGCTGAAATAAAATACCTGAGACTGAGTAATTCATAAGAACAGAAGATTATTTCTTGCAGTTCTGAAAACTGGAAAGTCTGAGGTCAGAGCCACATCTGGAGCAGGTCTCCACCCTCTGCCATCCTGGGGAGAAAGCAGAAGGACAAGGAAATGTGAGCATCAGAGCCAAATATGCTGGTTAATTCATCTACTCCCAGAACAGACCTCTGCTCCCCTGACCGTGTCTGCAGGACTCCATTCACAGGACAGAGCCCTGGTGACGAACTTACCTCTCAGCATTTGCCAAGGGCCACAGATGAACTTTGAGGGACACATTTGAATCATAGAAGCCAACAAAAGACTCGGAGCAAATGTTTGCAACATGACAACTAAGTGAACAGAATCCAGAACACTTAAAAGATTCTAATCAATCACTAAGAAAATGTAAACCCAACTTCCAGGAGAACATGGTGGATAGATAACAGCAGCTATGGAGGCTCTCTGAGATAGCCAGCTTAGATTCCAGGAATGGTGCAGTGTTGGGAGTCCTAAGCAGGGGGAGATATACCCTGCTAACCCAGGAATGAATTAAGCTGAGAGAAACCAACTGAAAATGCAATCCTGGTGCTATGACTGGAACAGCTAATGTCTCAGTGCCAAAGCCAGAACCCGCGCCTCTGGAAACCGCAGCTTGAATTTCCTGCCACCACTGCTGCATCTGAATTGGCACAACAGGGATAGCGACACAAAAGCTCTGAGAGCGGGAATCAGTGAACCAAGTTGAGAACAGAGCTAGTGGGGAGCCCTGCATTGACCTGTGGTGAGTGAGAGGAATGGGGACCCTTCCATAAACTAGGAGGCTCCAACAGAGGACATTCTGGGACCGGGCAGACTAGCCGGAACAGGACGCTGCAGTGACTTCAGTCACATAGTCCCCTCTCAAGTAGGATTGGTGGGGAGCACTTGACCTGGGTGATGCCATGAACTAAGACCGAGTATGCTAGCCCAAACCAGGTCCCTGCACCTGGCAGTGCATCCTAATGCAGTGAAACCTTCAGCAGGTTGACTGACCTGGAGAGGTGGGCCCAGCATAGGCTGTCCAGGTCTGTGTCTCTCTAGTACACTGCAGTGGACTGGAACACCTAGCCAGCGTGATTCAAACAAACTTTACCTGACAAAGAAACTGGGCCTCCTCTATATGCTTGTATGGAAGGAACAAAAAATATGGGAAGATGGAGCAACAAGAAAGTGTCTTCAGTTCCCAATCCTGAGAACACTGACCCAGGAAAGGTAAATGCAAAGGAAAATGAGGACAGAATATGTAATATCAGGCATGGCACCAATAGACATAAAACGGTATCTTAGGGACCTCATAGATGAGTTCAAAAGTGAAGTATTTAACCAAATGAAGTAAGATATAAGTAGAATAGTTAAAGAAATGCTAAGCCTCTGAAGAAAAAACAGATGGCGGAATGGAAGAACAGAAAAAAAGGGGAGAATTTTTTAATGGAGAATATAGAGAAAACATAGAATACATGAAGCAGGTTCAAAGATTACCAGGAAACTAAAAACTCTATTGAAAGCTGGCATAACAGCTTGAAAGAGACTAAGGATAGATTATCTGAACTGGAGGACAGATTTGTAATATGGGAGCATGAAAGGAAAAACTTGTTAAAAATAACAAGGAAGCAAGCAGTAACAATACAAAGGCTAGAAAATGATAAGAGGATCTATAGCTTAAGAATTAAGAATGTAAAGGAAGAAGTAGGGATACAAACAAATGAACTGCAAAGGCTATTCACAGAAATAATCAAGGAGAACTTCCCTAATATGGGAAAAGGTAAAGATACTCAGATCTATGAGGCATACAGGACCCCAGCCACCTACAATCCAAACAGAACTACACTCAGGCATATAATAATCAAAATTCCAGAAATCCAATAGAAGAACAGAACATTAAAATCTGTCAGAGATAAGAAACAGATCACTTAAAAGGGAACACCCATCAGAATTACAGCAGACTTCTCGGCACAAACCATCAAATCATGAAGAACTTGGGGCGAAATAATTCAAGCTTTGAAAGACAATAACCTCCAGTTAAGATTGATATATCCTGCACAACTGTCCCTAGAAATTGATGGATAAACAAGGTGCTTCCAGGATAAAGAGGGGCTAGGGGAAAAACATTCTAACAGAGAAAAATACCAAGATTCCAGAAACAGTGGCAGAGAGGCCACAATGAATGGAGCAGAAAGTGAAATTAAGAAGACAAACAGACAACAAACGACAGAAAAAGGAGCACAACAGAAATGAAGAAGAGAAGGTTGGATGGTATGAACAGCTATTTTGGAGAAAACAAGACATCATAATAGCTAGTGCTGATTTAGTATCATCTTGTTTTGAAGTCCCATCAAGCTTTTGTTCTTCTGTCTCCATCAGTCTTAAAAGGTTGTATCTTATTGGATTTTATTATATGTGATAATATAAACAAAAACTTATATAGACAAGGAGATTATACAGAAACCATTTTTCATTTTCTGTTAGTTGGCTCTAAATACCTTGTAATGCTGTCATTCTCTTGAATGGTTTCACATTATCTTGATATGTTTGATGCTACAATATACGAAGTTATACTCAAATATTTCAAGGAAAGAGACACAATGGTAATTACTTTTATGTTGGGATATCTTGTGGTGAAACACTATTTTGCTTAACTGGTTATGTTCATACCTGTGCTGTTTTGTTGTTATGTCCTCTTTTATCTCAATCTCCTTTTTTCGTTATTTAATTTTTTATTTTTATCTTTTTAATTAAGGGAAAAATAAATAAAAAATAGCATGATATATTATAGTAACCCACTTTGATTTCCTATTGACTTGATTTGAAACCCTGTATTGCTCTCATCATCTTGTTTTGACTGATTTTATTTACTCTATTATGTTTTGCTTGATAGTACCAAGTTTGAGAGTATAGGTAACAACTGTAAAGACAGTAAGACTCACTATGATGCCCATTCTGGTTTGAGTATTATCTTCTTTTGAAGTCCTGTAATGTCTCAAATGTTTTGATTTTATTGGTTTTGTTTTTTACTGTTTTGTTCAATTTTATTATAACTGACAACATAGGCAATTCTTTGTAAGATAGCAAGAGACATTATAGTAACCATTGTTGATTACCTTGTATTCTGTTTTTATACCATGTACTATGTCCGTCCTTTTGATTTGACTGACTCTGTTTTGTTATGCCACATTTGGTTTTATTCTCTTCAAAAAAAAAAGTAATAAGAACTGTGGGAGTAATAAAACCCAAAATGTGTAATTGTCATTGTAAAAAAGAGAGGAAAAGAAAGTGCTCTAAAGAATATAACTGCATATATATTTAAGTGTATAAGATAAATAACCATATTACTGAGTTTTTGTTGGATCATTGAACAGAACTGTTTTCAGTCTCACTGTTTGAATGTCCACTTTATATGCTTTAATTTTGTAACTTGAACAACTATTTCTAAGATGACAATCTGTAATCTATTAACTAGTGATTTCCTAGTGTTTCTTTTTTTAAAATTCTGTATAACTTGCACCCTTTTCTGTTTTTTTCTCCTTAAATAAAATTTAAAAAAAAAGAAAATGTAAACCCAATGAAAATGTATCAATAATCTGATGAGACTCTTCCCTAGAGCAGGAAGACAAGATGGCACCATACTTCACAAACCACTAGAAGCATATTAATTTCTAACATCTCTTCAGTCTAACAAAAATTATTTTAGCATTAGAAAAGCTTGGTTGTGACTGAAAGGAAATGTTTACCTTCTTCTGGCAGAAGCATAAATGGATACAACCATTTTTGAGAGCAATTTGACATTATATATAAGACTTTAAAATGATTCTGATTTCAGACTGTACATTTTGTTTTTCTGAATATCCATTAGCAAGACACATGTGTAAGACATGTTCATGGCAGCACCATTTGTAACAGCAAGAAAGCTGAAAAACATCCCAAATATCGTTAGATTTACAGAATGGAAAACTTTACAGAATGGAAATTTCAGTAGATAAGTGACTTGACAAAATGATATTGAATAACAGTAAATCACTGAACGTGTAATATGAGTGATATAAGTACACAAGGTACCTGTGCATGTACAATTATCTGAAGTTCAAAAATATACATAGCAAATATTATAGACAAAGTGAATGTCTATACATAGAAAAGTGCTTGAATTATTTATTTACAGTCTTTAGCAAAATACCAGGTATCTGTACAAAAATAATGAATAATCTCTACATTATTTTATGAAAAAACAAAAAATAAAAATAATATATGGAAAAGTAAGCAAAATAAGCAAATATGCCTGATGGAGTACTACTCAGCCATAAAGAAGGATAAACTAGAGACTTCTATAGGTGAATGAATACAACTCGAGACATACTCATAGATGAAATTAATGGAACCCACATAAGTAAAATCATATTGTATCACCATTGTGAAAAACTGAACTAACAGAGAATCTGAAATGTACATTAGATAATGTGAATTGGGAAGAAACTGTTCAATAGAAAAGACAAACTAGGATAGGAGAAAAAGGGAAAAGAAGAAAGATAGATAGATAGATAGATAGATAGATAGATAGATAGAAAGAAAGAAAGAAAAAGGATAGTTTAGATAATTACACAGCCAGCTTCTATTTGTTACTGTAAAGAATGTTTTGTGCTGAACTGTTTAGACAAACTATCACGCCTATATCCTGTACTCTGAATAACTACTAGGAAGACAATACATGATGTATCAACTATTGTAACTATCCTACTAGCCTGTTTTGAAACTCAGTTTCATTGCTTATCTTTTTTTCTCTTTAAAATTAAAAAAAAAAAAAGAAAGAAAACATGCCTGTATCTGCTCATAGATGCAAACAGGAAGTCTGAAGTAAAATGAACATTACAGGGTATCTGTGTGGTAGGTGGGAATGGAAAGTGTTAGCACGGGAGAAATTGAGGAGAGACGAAAAACATTTCCCTGGCTGTATTTTTTTGCATTTCTGGCTTCTAGAACTATGTTGAAAATGTAATACATGTTGGTTCATTGAACACAACTGTTTGCAGTCTCACTGTTTGAATGTCCACTTTGTGTTCTTTGATCCTGTGACT